TGCGAGGAAAGTGTAGAATGAAACTCAAATCCATAAGAAGACTAAGCTTCCTGGACTGAGGGACACCAGTGAAACAACCCGGGCTCTATGGCCCTTAGCCACCCCTTAGGTGTGGAAATGAACTCAGCCCCATAGCTGTTTTCAGCCAAACGATAGATAAACCTATAAGGAAAACATTAACACTAGCGAGGTGTACATGCCTTAGAAGAATCAATCATTTGAGATCAATAAGGGCAGCTTTTATGTAGGGACGAAGCCCAGAGGGTTAAGAGAGGAGGAACAGGAACAGAAAAACAGTGAGGAAGTGGAATACATTATGTTTCATTGTGAGGATTGCAATGAGATAAACAAAATATGCATGAATTGTTGACTGGAAAACAGATCTGCTCTGTAAACCTTCATCCAATTCACAATGAAGAGTTTTTTAAAAAACCAACCAGTTGGTAAAGGATGGGAGACAGGAAGCAATAACCCGTCTCAGGAGGCTCTTCCAGGACTTGGAAGCTCAGCCAGTGTGCTGGGACCAGGAGCTAAAGGCGCCTCCCTGTCAACTGCCCAGTTCCGAAAAGTTCGTGTCAGTTTATACTCATTCCAGCCGAGTGAGTTTCTTTCATCGCAATCCAACATCTAGGATTCTGTCTTAAAGAAGCCAAAGACGTAGTCCAAGACTATGGGCAAGAATATTTACCACAAGGATTCACGAAAGAGGGAGGAAGCGGGGAGGGAGGGGAAAAAGAGCTGATACCAAGGGCTCAAGGAGAAAGAAAATGTTTTAGAAATGTTGATGGCAACATATGTACACGTGAGCTTAATACAATTGAATGATGGACTGTCATAAAATTTTTAAGAGCCCCCAATAAAATTATTAATTATATAAAAAAAGAATATCACATTGTGAATATCCCCCATTATCAGGCCGAGGGCAATGTGAAGTTGATTATAGCAGACATAGATCAAAATGTAACATCTTACCATGTGATCTCCCTTTTGACCCATCTTAAAACTGTTTCCATTTTTTTAAAAAAGGCAAGGGGAAACACCCATGGGTTAAGCCCCTGGTCAATCCTGTGTGATCACGGACCAGGGATGTGAATAGCCTTGCTAACAAGCAGAACACATTGGAAAGGAGTGTTGCTGATGTAGTTAGGTTAAACTCTAAAGCCTTATCATTTGATCTCCTTTATGATCCATTTAAATTTGCTCTAGTTTTTAATATTTTATGCTTTCGTTTTTATGGACGTTTTAATGTTTCACTTTGTTATTGTTGTTGGGTATTTTTTAATGTTTTTCTGTACATACAATCAGGATAAGTAAATCCAGAGAAACAGTTACTGGATTAATGGTTTTTGGGGGTCTGGCAGGGGGAGTTGGGGGGAAATGGGGAGCTAATAACGATGAGGACAAGAATGAAGAAAATATTCTAAAACTGATTGTGGTGGTGACTGTACAACTCTTCT